ATCACTAACCAAACCCACTTCAGCCCTGGAAATGTCCATGCAACAACAAAACCAAATGCACGCGGCAATTTATCAAAACAGGCTAGCTAGCACTAGACTACTTATTAGCAGAAGAGGGTGGAGTCTGTGATAAGTTTAATATCTCTAACTGCTGTCTTAACATAGACAATAACGGAAAAGCGGTCTAGAAATTGCTTCAAACATCAGAAAAGTAGCCTATGTACCAGTCCAGAGCTGGAAGGGATGGGACCCAACAAACTTTCTGGAAGGGTGGTTCTCTAATTTAGGAGGATTTAAAACGCTGGTAAGGACAGTAATCTTCATCATTGGGTTCCTCTTGTTTCTCTCCTGTGTTACCCCACTGATAACAAAAGCCATTAAAACTCCTGTTGAAACTACAGTTAACTGCCAGACGATCCAGATGAAGCTCTTGCTACAACACCACTATGGATACTAACCCATCTCTCAAGAATATACAAAAATTAAATTTTTCTTTTTCCAAGGTACCACACCACCCCTATGTCATGCCTGAAGTAGTTATTGAGAAAGTCTCCCTTTTCCCTTTCCTATAACCAAACAGACAGGAATGTAAGATTCTCCCCAGGGCCTAAAAGTTTAAGGAGATGAATAACTCCTCCCCTCTCAGGCCCAGTCCCAAGGTGCAAGGCTACTTGCACCAGCAGTGTGTGCCAGCATGATAGCAGAAGCAGGAAGAGAGCCAGCTGGAAGACACATACCCCTGAAGATCACTGAGGATCGAGAAAGAGACCATCTGGGTAAACGTACCCGTTATGTCAGACTTCCTGTTTACAGGAGACTATAAAACCTTTGACCCATCCTCACTTGGGGCTGAAGCCATTTTAGGCCTCAGCCATCCTGCACCCAAGTGCTCATTAAAATAGCATGTTGCTCCACACCGTCTCCTGTTGTCTGTTGGAGCGCTCTCGGGGTTCGAACCGATACAAAAACCTTACAATGAGGACTCTAAAGAACAATTCCCATTTCCTTAAACACACGTATACACACACACACACACAGGATTGTGATGATAGCGTGTGTAAAGGACAAATTAACTTGTAGGGTAAGGACTGGGTGCTTGATATCTTAAATGTATTTTTTATTTTTTTTGAGCTTTTCTTGTGTGGCCTCTGGCCATGGCCATGATCAATGGGCCTAATTGAAATTAGGCCTCAGAGAGTTAGACTGGTTGAATATGGAAATAAATGAAGAGAAAAAACTAGCAGGTTTCATTGAGCTAAGAAAATGACCCCGAAGCAAAACTTCTTGCCTTTGAATCTAGCTTCAATATAGACAAACTGTTTGATCTTGGGGAAGTTACTTAGCTCTGCTCTTACTTTCAGTTTCTTCATACGTGATATATGTTTCCTAGTAGTACCCATATTACAAAGTTGTCATGTGGATTAAGTGGGTGCCTATTTGTCAAGCATTTAGAATAGTGCCTGGCATAGAGAGCACGTGATGAAAGTTTGTGTTACATAAACTGAAGCTTTCCCGTGAAGCAGAAGAGGCTAATTTATAAGGAAGTTTCTTTACATCTGCACAGTACAGCAGACCATGGAAAATCCTTGGTGCATTTGGTACTCCTTCAACTCCTTTCCTTTCCAGTCTAAAGTTTGCAGACAGGCTGTTATTCACATGCCTGCCAAGAGATTTAAACAAAAGAGAGATTCTCTCTCCATGATAAGTCTCAAATCTGTTAAAAGTTGGAAAACAGGGAACAGCAGATAGAAGATGGCCAATAGCACTAAAAATAAGCCATAGACTCAAAACTCTCTAAGCTTTATTGAGGTTTATCAAGACATTGCCCCCATTTGGGGATATACAAACACTAGATGTCTAGTTTACCCCTTTCCACCTATGTGAAGACTAACAGAGGAAATAGATAGGAAAGGCCTAAAATCAGCTTCTTAGAACTTTGTAAAACTAGTTCAGAGGATAGGACCTTCAGAATCCCGAGGACAAGGAGATAAACCTTAAAGGACTAGGAAATATGGCTTCCTTGATAAAGGCATCACTTTGGAACCAAAGTGGCTGCCAGTAAATGTCCTCAATTTTACTACCTGGCATGTGGAATTTGGTCAGTCACATATGTGAGCAATAACGGTTAGTTATCTAAATGGGCATACAGCTATTGGGGCAATAAATATTTTATGAAGGTTGTGTCAATTGTTATTTGTTTTAAAATGCTTTCATATCGGGCTAGCCACAATGTGTTTTATTATGTATTTGAAAGCATTGGATCTTTTGTACCTTAAAAGTCATGGTCTATTTGAAGTCTTCTTGATGCAAAGAAAAACTCTCATTTAAAAAATTACCACAAAAAACTTTTTTGTGTTAATTTAAAAAAAATGGCCCAACACAGTGGCTCCTGCCTATAATCCCAGCACCTTTGGAGGCTGAGGCAGGCAGATTGCTTGAGCCCAGGAGTTTGAGATCAGCCTGGGAAACATAGTAAAACCCTGCCTCCTCTGAAAATACAAAAATTAGCCTGGCATGGAGGTGTGCGCCTGTACTCCCAGCTACTCAGAAGGCTGAAGCGGGAGAACAGTTGAGCCCAGGGGCTCAAGACTGATGTGAGCCATGACTGAGCCACTACACTCTAGCCTGGGTGACAAAGAGATACCCTGTCTCAAAAATATGATAACAATAATCATAACAATCATAATAATTGCTTGTTTGATTTTGGCAAGATAAACTCATGGTAACAAGCATACTATACTTCTCTCTTCTTCATCCCTTTCTAACTCTGAATAATATGATTGAAATTCTTACTTATAGAAAAAAAAAACCCTCATATCTTTGTCTGCTTATAAGCTTTTAAGAAACCATAATTATTTTTAGAAAATGCTGAAATAAATTGAAATAGTTTGACAAACACTTTTGAACCTGTTAGACTAAACAATATTAACCTCTGTTATCTATGTTTAAAATGATTATTTTAAAGAAATTAAGTTATATATTCACCAAGAAAACAGTAATGTAGACAGTAAAATGTCTCCTCTTCAAAGTTTCCTTTCTTGTTAAAGAATAAATCATAAGTGTTAGAAATAATAGTTTATTTTAAAGATGAACTTCCCTCAAGCCCCCTTGCTTTATGCTAATAACTTTGTTAAGCCCTATCTATCTTATATAGCTATTAAACATGCTCGTCAGGCACGTAGTACATTCCATGTCCTTGTACCTTCACCAAGATATTTGTGTTGGATGTGCTCATAGGTATGTCCCAGTTCACAGACCATGCCCCTTCCTTATTTGGAAAAATTATTATTTTTGTACCTATTTTTAAAAGTTTTAAATTATTAGCCAATCAGATTGTAATTTAGATTGTGAGGTCTGACTCTAGCCAATGGAGACAGGACACAGCAATAGCGACCTCATGCGTAAGGAATAAATATTCTGGTGTCTCTTTATTCTGTGTACGCCTTTGCCATTGTTCCATCTGTGAGGGGCATCCTTTCTGCAGAAAGTAAAAGTTGCCTCACTGAGAGAACTTTTTGTTTGAATGCTGATTTTTTCTTGCAGAACTGAGGAACAAACATTTTGCATTTCTAACAAGTATGAAAATTGTTTGTATAGTGTTTTATTATGGATTTATTTTACTTTAAATTACATGTGAATAGATGAAGAAACAATATAAAGAATTAGCCCTTTAAAGCACGTATAAATATTATTAGTTTGTAAATTTTTGCAACTGACTTTTAAAATCCTTTTTAAGTTGATATATGCTTTTGAAATGAGCTCATGTTTATACAAAGATATTAACTTATTTAATTTAACTCCTGTTAGTATTTCAAAATATATTATTTAGTCATTTATCTCGATTGATATAGCCATCTCTATTTCTGTGAACATTTTGGTTAGTTTTTCAACTGAATTTTAAATTCCAGATTTCCTGTTGCTCCCTGAATCTGAATGGATATTTAATGGGAATTTCAGTAAGTGTTTAATTTCCATCACTATCTGTAACTTCACAACAACAGATGATTGACTTCAAACCAACAACTTCATATTCCACTACTTTGAGCTTACTTAGGCATCACCTCCCTGTAGTTCCCACCTGCTTGGAGTTTGAGAACATCTGTATCCTGCTAGCTACTTATACTCAAACCTTGCTGGAAATGCTGGTTTAAATTTACATAACTACTAAACCTTGTGATATGGTGTGGCTGTGTATCCCCACCCAAATCTCATCTCAAATTGTAATCCTCATAATCCCCATGCGTGGATGGAGGAACCTAGTGGGAGGCAATTGGATCACAGGAGTAGTTTCCCCCATGCTGTTCTCACGATAGTGAGTCCATTCTCACAAGATCTGATGGTTTTATAAAGGGCTCTTCCCTCTTCACTTTCTCTTGCTCACCTGCCACCCTGTAAGACATGCTTTACGTCCCCTTCGTCTCCATGACTGTAAGTTTCCTAAGGCCTCCTCAGCCTCAGGAAAGTCTGAGAGTCAATTAAACAGTGAGTCAATTAAACTTCTTCCTTTTTAAGTTACCCAGTCTCTGGCAGTATAGCAGTGTGAAAATGGACTAATTCACCTTGCCTTCTGAAGTAGGTTTGAGAGCTTCCTGAGCCTGAAAGGGAATGGAGAAATGACTTAAAGCCACCAGCTAATTGGGCTTAATCATTTGCACTCAATTGACTCTTCCCCTACCCCCACGTCTAAACCAAAGAAAGGATCATCCCATATTTACATAGCACAAAGAAATCTACTCTTCTGCTCTTTCTAGGATGGCTAAAGGCCATGGGAACTGGACATGAGGATGCTGTGGGGGAAGGACAAAGCCCAACATCAACTTGGACAGTTTACTAACCTGTTTATGGTAAGTTGATATCATTCGTGACCACTCCTAATGTGTGCCAGTAATAAGCTATTCCTGATGCCAGAATCTCTTACTGTTAGTGCCCTTTGTAGGCCTTCTGACCCTTACTCCTTGCTCCACCCACTGTTTATATCATGTGGTTTTCTCTCAGACCCTGATATAAAGCTCCTACTCTGTCTGACCTGACAAGCCACCTCAAGTGGACAAGGCACTTACCAACAGGTAAGGGGGCATTACAGGAGAAGAGCATGTCTAACATGGGATTTTCTTTTCATTTTGAGGTAGATACAGGGTGATTTTCTCAATAAAAGATCCCAGTAGTAATGAAGTTTAAGCAAAACCAAAGCTGATTTTGGGTAATTTGGCCTCTGTTATCCCCAAACAAAAGAGAAATATCTGGGAGCATAGCTATCTCAGTGGACCTTCCTGGTCACAGGAATTCCAAGAGGAGAGGATGTTAGAAAGATAATAGGGGCTCTGCTCTCTTCTTCAAACCCTCTTCCCTGTGTTCTCCTACAGAGATTACTGATTTGCTCCTTAAGCAAGAGATTCACTGCTGCTCAGCATGGCTCAGACCAACTCATGCTTCATGCTGATCTCCTGCCTGATGTTCCTGTCTCTGAGCCAAGGTGAGATTTTTTCCCCCAGTCCTCCCACAACCCCAGCTCTGAAGTCTTCCCTCCCCTCATGCATAGGGTTCACTTGAAAAAAAGCAGAGTCAACATCAGAGGTTGTTTTATGTTGTTCAGTGATCATTATGGCTGATCTCATCCCATTCAAAAACACCCTCATTTCATTCATGAGTTTGAGACAGAATTTAATAAGACCACTTATAGGTGACCATTGTGGTTGAGTTTATCTGATTGAATCTATATGTGATGGTAGTTGGATGTTTTTATGTAGTCATTGATAGGATGGAGAGCTAAGGCAAGCATGTGCAGGGAAATCAAGAGAAACTTGAGAAAGGTGGAAGGCTGGGTCTTTAAAGGCAGAAGGCTGAGCCTCAGAAATAAAAGGGAAAATGAGGACACATTTCTTTAGCCTATTCATTGCAAGCTCTTGTCTTGAGCAGAGGAGACTAGGAAAAAAAAGAGATAGGATGCAGGGGGCAGAAGTAAGGAATCACTCCAGTACACACTGTATCAGTATGTTCTTATAAAGGAAACTGAAAAGCCCCTAATTCACCTTCCAGCCTTTTCCTTGCCCTGAGAGTCTTTCTTAATTATCTCTTTTTTCCCCTCAGGCCAGGAGACCCAGACAGAGCTGCCTAATGCCCGAATCAGCTGCCCAGAAGGCGCCAATGCCTATCGCTCCTACTGCTACTACTTTAATGAAGACCCTGAGACCTGGGTTGATGCAGATGTGAGTGAGGACAGCAGCAGGGGAAGGGAGGCTCATGAAGGTAGTGGCAGCTGCTAATTTGCAGTGTGTTCTGTGGCTGCAATGAGATAAGATTGATCCCTTCCCTATTCCACCACTGGTCCAAAACTTCCCAATCTACTTTATCCCATTATTTAACACATTCCTAGCACAGAGATACTGGTGGTCAGTGACAGCATCACCAGGGACATTTCTGTGCTGTCCTTTTTCTGTTACATCCTCTGGAAGATCTCAGTAGATCCTTCACACCTTCCTCCTCCACTGAGTGCTCCATTTTCTTCACCTACAGCTCTACTGCCAGAACATGAATTCAGGCAACCTGGTGTCTGTGCTCACCGAGTCGGAGGGTGCCTTCGTGGCCTCACTGATTAAGGAGAGTAGCACTGATGACAGCAATGTCTGGATTGGCCTCCATGACCCCAAAAAGGTCAGTCTGCAGCCTCCTCTACCGCCTTATAAACATTTTTGAGAGGTAAGAGGGACGTTTAAGGTCTGGCACCTCGAGCGCCAACTTTTATCTTTTTGTTTTTCTAAATAAAAGAAACCTCTTTATAGATCCTATAATGTATGAGTTGTGAAGTTCAGTGTAGGTAGTTAGAGACATGAGCTGAAGGCTGAATTTTCTGGGCTCCTGGGAATTCATGCGCACACTCATTGTGTCAACTTTTAGAAATGCATCTTTATGTACAACTTCTTCCCTATTTTGCTATTGTCTGTCTTGGAAGAGGTCCCTCTGTAGACTGTATAGGAAAAGAGTAGTGGAGGAGAAATCTACTGCTGGCATTTGTTATACATTTTATACAAAAGTATAAAACTGTACAGTAGTTGTTGATATATTATTTAGTTTAACACTATAAGTGTTAAACTAAACACTTATAGTGTTAAACTAAATAATATATCAACAACTACTCTACAGCCAATGTTATGTTGTATATGAGAGTTCTGAGCTTCAGGAAAAAAGATCAGAACCACTCTCTGTAATGGGCTTTTATGGGTCTCTGTATCAAACTCTGAACACTTATTATTTGCTGGAAGAGGAGGAGGAATTTGGACATTCCAGAGAAGGAGCAAAAGCAGAGGAAATAATACGACATTCATGGTGACAACAGTGATTATTCTTTCTGCTATATCTTGGCCTGTTTCTGAGTGTGCTCACAGGCCTGGTTATTCTATTGATTTTTGAGTGACCATGGCCCCTGTTCTGACCCTTCTCCACCTAGAACCGCCGCTGGTACTGGAGCAGTGGGTCCCTGGTCTCCTACAAATCCTGGGACATTGGAGCCCCAAGCAGTGCTAATGCTGGCTACTGTGCAAGCCTGACTTCATGCTCAGGTGAGAGGCAGACAATCTATCCACCTGTTGTTATTTCCCTCCCGCTTTTCTCTGGGGATGAACATGGGAACTGGGATAGAGGAAAGGTGAGCTCTTTATCTGGAAAATAAAGGAATATTTCCTCTTGTTTTTTGTTCTGAGTCCTAGGTCGAGGAGGGGCTACCCTCCTTCTGATCCTCTCTGTCTGACTCTTCTCATTGTTCTATAGGATTCAAGAAATGGAAGGATGAATCTTGTGAGAAGAAGTTCTCCTTTGTTTGCAAGTTCAAAAACTAGAGGCAGCTGAAAAATGGATGTCTAGAACCACTCCTGCAATTACTACAAAGTCAAAAATTAAACTAGACTATTTCTCCAACTCCATTCAGACCATCTCCTTCCTAATGAGTTTGCATTGTTGATCTTCAGTACCTTTATCCGTCCCAGTCTCTAGAGCCCTGAAAAATAAAAACAAATATATTTTTCTCCATTGTTCTGTCTTCTGCATTTGCTCTTTATACAGCCCATGCTTGGGTGGTTGGAGTGGGAATGATTGTCACACTCCAGAGCTTGCCCTGGCCCATCCGCTTGTTAAAACCCCACTCACATTTTATGTATGTCGGGCTTATGAACATGTGGTGGCCTTGTTTATGACAAGATAAAAAGATGAAGATTTCATCCACAACACATGTTAGCATGAACCTAGTGTGAGTTACACAACTAATTAAATTGTTGATCCAGTCTGACTGGAGTATTTGATATTCCAGAAGAATTCGCATAGTTGGGGTCTGAGGAGAACACATCTGTTCTCGGTTATGCAATTTTAAGTCAGGACTGAAGTGATAAATTAAGGAGAACTGTCAGGTCTACAGTCCTGAGTGCATTAGTGGTACATTTTTGGAGGCCAGTCTGCAAAGTTTGTTAAATGCTACTCCTTGGATGAATGAATAAGTGAATGATCAATTATGTAAATTAAATATACAGGCATACTTAATTGTCTCTTTAAATATCCTAACTCTCAATAAAGTCAAATTCTGAAATACTACTCTTAGGACTTTCACAAATTAATTGTGCAGGGACACAATTCAGCCCATAACATCAATCATATCAATAATAGAGTTAAATGTGATTTGATAACAAAGGAAACAAATTGTCAGCCTGGATTAAAGTAACAACAATGAAAACACGATTCAACTGTATGCTATGTACGAGAGACATGAGTTAGATTAAGACACAAATAATTTGAAAATAAAAGGAAGGAAATAAACATATTTTGCAAACAGAAACTATAAGAACACTGGTTTCTGTACTGTTCCTCAGTGTAATGCCTATATGAGATTGCTGAATTTCTACCCTATCCTAACTCTGCTTATCTTTAAGAAACAGAATGCCTGTGGTAAAAAGTTTCCTTTATAACCAGTTCAGCTGAGACTGGTTAGAATCAAGATCACCATCAAAGGACCTCAGAAAAATATCGGGTTCATTATGATCTCATTTCCATGCTAAATGACACTCATACCAGCACAATGACAGTTGACAATCACCATGACAATGGCCAGAAGAAGCAATAAAGGTACAAAAAGGAAGGCGCACTCTGATTCCAGGAAGTTCATAACCTGTTTCCAGAAAAGACATGAATATTCCTCCCTTTGTTTTTAATGCCCAGTTCTTTCATTAGAGAAACCCTATATTTTAACCCCTTTACCCCAACTAGCAGAGAAGCCAATTTGTGAGTCATGTTCCTGCTTCTCAATTCCATGGCCATCAAATAAATCCTGCAGTGCTTGACACTCACTTTCTGTTTCAAGTATTGTCTTTGTGACACCAAATAGGGAAGACTCCATCTTTGGGGGGACTTGTTTTGCCTGCAACAATACTAATATCAGACATATTTGACTTTAAAGCAAACAATGTTAATTGAGAAGAAAAGGAGCATTTTATAATAATAAAGTAGTTAATCCTTCAGGAAGATGTCTTAAAATACCTGAAACAGGTGGAATCCAATGCAGTGTGACAAAGCCGCTATAACCAGACTGTCCCTTTGGATTCCTCCTCTCTGGGGAGGACATCTCTGAAAGAAAGGCAGCAGCCGCAGTCAGGGGCTTATAGAAAACTCTCATCTTTCTGGGACAGAGCACCTGGGGGAAGGGGTGGTTGTGGGCCAAACTTCAGCAGACTTAACTGTTCTCACCTGTTGATTCTGAAGAGAGCAGCAGGTATCCCAGTGCAGCATTCAAGCTCTACTAAGGGACAGATTGCCTCCTCGAGTAGGTCTCTTACTCCAGTGCCTACTGACTGGGAGATACTTCCCAGCAGGAGTCAACAGACACCTCATACAGGAGAGCTCCAGCTGGCATCTGGCAGGTGCCCCGCTGGGACAAAGCTTCCAGAGGAAGGAACAGGCAGCAATATTTGCTATTCTGCAGCCTCTGCTGGTGAGATACAGGCAAACAGTGTCTGGAGTGGACCTCCAATAAACTCCAGCAGACCTGCAGAAGAGGGGCCTGACTCTTAGAAGGAAAACTAGCAAACAGAAAGCAATAGCATCAATATCAAGTAAAAGGACACCCAGGAAAATCACCATCCAAAGGTCACCAACATTAAAGACCAAAGATAGATAAATCCATGAAGATGAGAAAAAAGCAGTGTGAAATGGATGAAAATTCCAAAAATCAGAAAGCCTCTTCTCCTCCAAAGGACCACAACTCCTCACCAGCAAGGAAACAAAACTGGATAGACAATGAGTCCAGTGAATTGACAGAAGTAGGTTTCAGAAGGTGGGTAATAACAAACTCCTCTGAGCTAAAGGAGTATGTTCTAACCCAATGCAAGGAAGCTAAGAACCTTAATAAAAGGTTACAGGAACTGGTAACTAGAATAACTAGTTTAGAGAAGAACATAAATAACCTGATGGAGCTGAAAAACACAGGACGAGAACTTCATGAAGTATATGCAAGTATCAATAACTGAATCAATCAAGCAGAAGAAAGGATATCAGAGATTGAAGATCAACTTAATGAAGTAAAGCTTGAAGACAAGATTAGAGAACAAAGAATGAAAATGAATGAACAAAGCCTCCAAGAAATATGGGACTATGTGAAAAGATCAAACCTACGTTTGATTGGTGTACCTGAAAGTGACAGAGAGAATGGAGCCAAACTGGAAAACATACTTCAGGATATTATCCAGGAAAAATTTCCCAACCTAGTCAGAGAGGTCAGCATTCAAATTCAGAAAATAGAAGATGGCAAAGATATTCCTCAAGAAGAGCAACCCCAAGACATATAATTGTTGGATTCACCAAGGTTGAAATGAAGGAAAAAATATTAAGGGCAGCCAGAGAGAAAGGCCAGGTTACCCACAAAGGGAAGCCCATCAGAAGAACAGAGGATCTTTCTGCAGAAACCCTATAAGCCAGAAGAGAGTGGGGGCCAGTATGCAACATTCTTGAAGAAAAGAATTTTCAACCCATAATTTCATATCCAGTCAAACTAAGCTTCATAAGCAAAGGAGAAATAAAGTCCTTTACAGACAAGCAAATGCTGAGGGATTTTGTCACCACCAGGCCTGCCTTACAAGAGCTCCTGAAGGAAGCACTAAATATGGAAAGGAGAACCAGTACTAGCCACTGCAAAAACATACCAAAATGCAAAGATCATTGACACTATGAAGAAACCGCATTGACTAATGGGCAAAATAACCAGCTAGCATCATAATAACAGGATCAAATTCACACATAACAATGTTAGCCTTAAATGTAAATCAGCTAAATGTCACAATTAAAAGACACAGACTGGTAAATTGGATAGAGTCAAGACCCATCTGTGTGCTGTATTCAGGAGGCCCGTCTCATATGCAAAGACACACATAGGCTCAAAATAAAGGGATGGAGGAATATTTACCAAGCAAATGGAAATCCAAAAATAATAATAAAAACAAAAAAAACAGGGGTTGCAATTCTCATCTCTGATAAAACAGACTTTAAACTAACAAATATAAAAAAAAGACAAAGAAGGGCATTACATAATGGTAAAGGGATCAATGCAACAGGAAGAGCTAACTATCCTAAATATATATGCACCCAATACAGGAGCACCCAGATTCATCAAGCAAGTTCTTAGAGACCTACAAAGAGACTTAGACTCTCACAGAAAAATAGTGGGAGACTTTAACACCCCACTGTCAATATTAGACAGATCAGCGAGACAGAATACTAACAAGGATATTCAGGACTTGAACTCAGATCTGAACAAAGTGGACCTATTAGACATCTAGAGAACTCTCCACCCCAAATCAACAGAATATGCATTCTTCTCAGCACCACATCACACTTATTCTAAAACTGACCACATAATTGGAAGGAAAACACTGTTCAGCAAATGCAAAAGAATGGAAATCGTAACAGCTTCTCAGACCATAATGCAATCAAATTAGAAGTCAGGATTAAGAAACTCACTCAAAACGACACAACTACATGGAAACTGAACAACCTTAATCCTGAATGACTACTGGGTAAATAATGAAATTAAGGCAGAAATAAATAAATTCTTTGAAACCAATGAGAAGAAAGACACAATGTACCAGAATCTCTGGCACACAGCTAAAGCAGTGTTTACAGGGAAATTTATAGCACTAAATGCCAACAGGAGAAAGTGGGAAAGATCTAAAATTGACACCCTAACACCACAATTAAAAGAATTAGAGAAGCAAGAGCAAATCATAAGAGCAATTCAAGAGCAAATTCAAAAGCCAGCAGAAGACAGGAAATTGAGATCAGAGCGGAAGTGAAGGAGATAGAGACACAAAATCCCTTCAAAAAATCAGTGAATCCAGGAGCTGGTTTTTTGAAAAAATTAACAAAATCAACAGACCTCTAGCCAGTCTAATAAAGATGAAAAGAGAGAAGAATCAAATAGACACAATAAAAAATGATAAAGGGGAGATCACTACTGATCCCACAGAAATACAAACTACCATCAGAGAATACTACAAACACCTCTACACAAATAAACTAGAAAATCTAGAAGAAATGGATAAATTCCTGGACACATACACCCTCCCAAGACTAAACCAAAAAGAAGTCAAATCGCTGAATAGACCAATAACAAATTCTGAAATTGAGGCAGTAGTTAATAGCTTACCAACCAAAAAAATCACAGGACCAGATGGATTCACAGCCGAATTCTAACAGAGGTATAAAGAAGGGCTGATACTATTCCTTCTGAAATTATTCCAAACAATATAAAAATAGAGGCTATTCCCTAACTCATTTTATGAGGCCAGCATCATCCTGATACCCAAACCTGGCAGAGACACAACAAAATAAAGAAAATTTCAGGCCAATATCCCTAAAGAACATCGATGCAAAAATCTTCAATAAAATACTGGCAAACCGAATCCAGCAGCACATCAAAAAGCTTATCCACCACGATCAAGTCAGCTTCATCCCCGGGATGCAAGGTTGGTTTAACATACACAAATCAAT